GTGGGTTGGTCCTAACCTGTTATTTTGTTGTATGTGTTATATGAGGGAAGATCTCAATTTGTATTTGTTTATGATTTGTTTCCTCCCACATGATTCTTTTACTCTTATATTGTTATTAATTGTGTTTATGCATGACCAATTTCATGTATTGAGTCTATTTGAGCTGCCTAAGTTTCTATGAGAACCTTAAGAGCATGCATTTGGGGGTTAATTAAGGTGTGATTAGTTAGTAAAAGTATGTAATTCTATGTAATTTGTGCCTTATAGATGTATAATGTGACTATTTTGGAGTGTTTTACCAGTTGAATGGATAAATGCATGTTTATGTTTTGGTTCATAAATTGAATGTTTTGTGTTTTTGCATATTTGAATTTTTGGTGATGGTGTCAAGTGCTATCATGTCTGAGAGAAAAGTTGTTCTCTATGTCATTTAAGTCAGGTGTGAGTTGGGTCTCACCAAGCGTGCAGTGGGAGCTCTAGGAAGCTCCTTGTAGCTATCTCGTAAAGCGCAATACAAATCTCATCGGGTATGAACCACCCCAAGAGCTATGAGTATCTTTTGGGCGCAGGTTGGTTGCTGCTAGGTGCCATCCATGCCTGATGCTTGTTCTTGTGAGCATAAACATGAATGGTGTGATCGATTCTATACCTTGATGAGTATGACTTGAACATGAATGGTGTGATTGATTCTATACCTTGATGGGTATGACTTGAACATGAATGGTATTGTTGTGAATGATTGAGTAATGCAAATGGTATGTGAATGACAAATTGTATGTATGATAAATCGTTGAGTATGCACATTGAATGATAACATGATATTGAGTCTATGTGACATGCATCATATGCGCGCAAATTGACAAATTGTTAAATCGTTATGTATATGCATTTCCCATATTTGTGAATGGTAGCACATGCATGCAAATCGAAATTCGTGTCTATTGCATCTCATACTTGCATGTGAGTGTACTTGTCTCTTGGGACTCATAATATGATATGTATTTATGAATGAGCTATTGTGTTTTGATAATGTTAATCATGTGTTTTTGCAATGAAGGATATGTTGAGAGTGTTTAGCTATCTATCTTTTGTTTGATGCCATGAGCTAGATTGAGAAGTTTTTCACACTACAAAAAAAAAGACAATTTAGCCACCAAAATTAGCGACCGATTTTTTTCCGTCGCTAATAGCGACATAATTAGCGACTGAATCTGATTTGGTTGCAAATTTTATTTAGCGACCGAATTTTTAGTGGCAAATAATCGGTCGCTAAATCGGTCGCTAAAATAATAAAACATTATTATTTATAATAACTTTAGCGACTAAATTAAAATCGGTCACTAAAAAAATAAAAAAAAATTAATATTTATAATAATTTTAGCGACCAAATTAAAATTGGTCGCTAAAAATTTATTTATTTTTCTCTAGCTTGAGAAATTTATTTATTTTTCTCTTGAGAAATTTATTTCTCTTCTTTCTTTCTCCACCTTCCATCTCCATTTTTCTTCCCTTGATAACACCACTTTCTCTCTCTCTCTCTCTCTCTTTCTTTCTCTCTCTCTCTCTCTATCTCTCTACGCAAACATTTTTCTCCTTAGCACATACCCGAATCCATTCTCACTGCCACCGCCGTTGGATATATCGAGGCGATG